TTGACCGTGACACCCTCATCAGAAAAATGTCCAACATGAGAAAAGTGGAGCCGAGTGCAGGATTTTACAACAAAAATTTACTTATTCCTGTTTCTACAAGTTAATTTTAAACAAGTTCATTTTAAAACTTTGTGTTGAAATTTTATTTTTCTTAAAGTTTCAGGTTGTTCATAATATTATAATATTTAGTAAAAGAAAGAGTTCATCAATTAAAAAAGATTTCTGTAATAGATTTGTGTTTCTCTGCACAAATATTTGAACTTATTGTTATTTTTGGGGTTTATATGACATGAGTTTTCTGATCTGGCCCCTTTGGATCAAAGTCGGTAACAAAATGAGTTTGACACCCCTGGTCTAGATCTACAAATCTCAAAATGCTCTGTTCCACCTTGTGATGTCATGAAATGGTAAATGTGAAGTGAACAGCTCCTTTTACTTTTAGTTCAGTAGAGATTAGAGATTAGACACAGAGCAATTCCAGGGCTGAATTTATCCAAACGATTCTAGTGAAGATGCAAGGAGTTTAAAAACACAGTGGAGCACACTTCTGGACTTAGACTTTCTACAAATTCAGTTCGGCTTGTCCAGTAACTCTCACCCACCCTGACCCTCAGCACTGGTGTTCCACAGGGCTGCATCCTGGGACCTCTGCTCTTTACAAATACAGTAATAGGAGGGTTTCAGTCACGTGATCACGATGATGCGCGAATTTCAGGTGGAGGGCAGGAAGTGAAGACAAACACGACAAACAAACACGACAAACAAACACATCTCTGGAGAACACAGATATGGAGAAGAGTTCTTATTGTCAGGATTTAGAGCCAGTAGCGAGGCAAAAGTACGAGCAGTTAGTCGACAAATATATTGGGCGTGACCCTGATCTTTTTGAAAATGAGAGAATTTTCAACCGAAGTAAAAGATTTGTTGACAATCGAGGCAGAGGAGATCACGAACTATTTAGCTCTTCAGACGTCGTTCTACACCAGACAACAGATGAAGGCAAAGTACAAAAGTTTGGAGGCATAGAACTTTTTTTGTCAGTGGATGGATCCTCAACCTCGGTGCAAAATGCCTAAATGATGATTATGGTTTGGTCTTCGCCGGGGTGAGTGTTTCTCTTATTTTATGTGTATAGACGTTATGGGAAAAACTGCAGTGTATCGGCAGTGACATATCTGTCTGAACTATTTAATATCAACAAACGCCATTAGTCGTTAGTCGTTAATGATTCGTTTATGTTTAGGTAAACCAGACAAAAAACAAATTAGCTTTGAAACAAACCTTTGTCAAAGTGTCACTGCAGACACGAGCATTAGTGAATTCTGTTCCTCCCGACCACAAACAGGTTTGTAATCCACTTTTTATGGTGTTGTTTTGTCGGCTTTTCCAATTTCTGACCTTTGTGGACGACTATATTCGGTTCTCTAAAAAAATTGCTTTTCCTTCTCTCGGTTAGAACGATTGGCACAGCCGTAAACTACACAACACATCGGCATTTTCCTCCAGTCAGTTCACTTCCTGCCCTCCGTCTGATTTTGCGCGCTGACAAACGTCGCCCTGTGACGTCACGTGAAACCCAGATATACGTTTTGCTGATGACACTGCAGCTGTGAGACTGGTTACACGACAACCAGCTCCACTGCTGTGATGAAAAAAAATATTTCTGTGGTCACTAAACAGCAGATGGAAGCGTTTTATCACTCTTGTATTTATGTACGTTTTGACATTTCAGTTCATTGTGCGAACTGCTCCAAGGTCAGTGACTGCAAATCCCCCCAGAGAGTCACTAAAGCTACGTTCAGTCTGCAGGTTTAACGCTCAATTCAGATTTTTTGGGTGAAATCCGATGTTTTTTCGAGGTCGTTCACATTTCCAATTAAATGTGACTTGTATGTGACTCCAGTGTGAACATTAAACGGCCCAAAAGTGTCCCACATGTGACACTGGAGACACGACGACGTCAACCGCAGCGAGCGTCTCTGTGTTTACGGAAGCTGGAAACGGAAACATGGACGCAGCATCGAGCACCTGGAGATTTTAAAGTTCCTCTCGTACCGGAGCCACAACATGAACAACTGACTTGTTTTAAGGAGGAGATTGAGAAGGAGAAGGACCAGGTTTTTGGTCGTGGTGTTTTGTGGTTCAGTCCGTTGAAAGGAACATGTGGATGTGGAGACGGAGCCAAAAGTGGTGAGTGGAGATGTGCTTCACTTCAGTGACATGGAGTTCAATAATTTTCTCCTACTTCAGTGCAGAATAGTGACGTTTGTGTCTTGTTGATAACGTGTAGGTGGATGAATGCACTTTGGCCCTTCAGACTGAAGTCACATGTCAAAAGATCAGATATGTATCAGTTTCAGGAGCACATATCCAAGTGTCCTGAGTCACATTTGAAAAAATCTGATCTGTGTGGTTCAGACTGACAATAAAAGATCAGATACAGGAACATAGAGACAAAAAATCGGATTTGGGTCACTTCAGGCTGCAGACTGAACGCAGCCTTACAGTCTCTGACCTCTGAGCAGTTTGCACAATGAACTGAAATGTCAAAATACTTTCAATATAAGAGTGATAAAAGGCTCCATCTGCCATTTAGTGACTATAGAAAACCATTTTTTTTCACCAGGGAAGTGGAGCTTGTCATCCATTATTTGTAACCAGATTCAGATCTGCAGTGTCGTCAGCAGAATGTGTTATTTTATTTGTGAGGTGGGCGGTAGGACAGGACAGCCAGGCTGGCGCCACCTAGTGCCTCCGCTCAGTTTAATTTCTCTCCAGCAACTAGATCAGGAATCAGAATACACTAGACCCTTCGCAAAAACCCCGGAAGTGCGAGTTCGGGCACCAGACAAACATCGAAGAGACAGACATTCTGTGTTGGCAACGATTCCCGAAATCGAGGATTTAAAGCCGGAACAAAGAGAATGTTTGGTGAATTTTATCAAGGGGAAAGACGTTATTGTTCTTATTCCTACAGGATTTGGAGCATCACATACATCACAACCAAACAGCAGCGATTGGTTAAATAAAAAAATTACCTGCCTACTGTTGAGCGAACGAATCCTAATGCTGTGAGGTCACACGGTTTACACCAAGTGAAATCGTCTGATGAATCAGATTAAGAACAGGAATCTGTGTAAAGGAAAAGAGCAGAGGTCCCAGGACGCAGCCCTGTGGAACACCAGTGCTGAGGGTCAGGGTGGGTGAGAGGTAATGGACAAGTCGAACGGAATTTGTAGAAAGTCTAGGTCCAGAAGTGTGCTCCACTGTGTTTTTAAAACCAATACATGAAACCGTCCAATACATAACAGCTGTATTGATGGTTTTCAGATTCTAGAATGTGATGATTACGGAAGCTGAGAGGGCTCATAACAAACGCAAACGCCACAACACAAAAAACCCCACAACACACCAAAAAAAGCCACAACACACCCCAAAAAAGCCACAACCCCCCCCCCCCCAAAAAAAAAGCCACAACACACCAACAAAAAGCCACAACACAACAAAAAAAAAGCCACAACACACCAAAAATAAAAGCCACAACACACCCCAAAAAAAACCCCAAAAAACACAACACACCAAAAAAAAAGCCACAACACACAAAAAAAGCCACAACCAAAGTGACCGTGGGACTCTATTTCCCAATGGGCCAAGCAACGGTCAGTGACATCGATCCTGGCCACAAAATTTAGTTGATGCGGTTTATATTCTGGTGAATCTCGCTCAATAGTCCGAAAAATATTGTAAATGGAAAATTGAAATATTCTGTTTAAATGAATAGTGACTTTTTGTGATTTTGGTCTTTGATTCTTTGCTTAAACTGTTGATAAAACAGTCAGGGCCTCTGGTAATTTTGTCGTGCCCATAAAAGGTTTTACATAATTTATATTCAATAAAAAGGTTTGTTTTTTGGTTTTATCACAGTATTCGCAGCTTGGATGGCAGACATGTTTGTGATAGTTTCTCAAACTGTGTTACGTGTCATTTCTTCTTTTGAACTGCTGTAGTCCACATTTAGATCTGGTTTGGTCTTAGATTAGACCTGGACTAGACCTGTTATAGACCTGGTGTTACTCTGAGCACCAAATCTTTTCTTTTGGTGATACTCGGAGTGAAAAGTTTAATCGACACTGTTCCAAAGTTCCGTGAAAAGTCAAACTCCGTCGCCTTGTTGCATCATTTCTTCACTCTCTCTCCTCCCCCCCCCTCTCTCTTTCTCTTTCTGATTTAAGCGTCGGAGTTCGGGGGCCTCCTCAGAGCCGCCGCAGTGCAGACGACGGAGAACCTGCCCACCATGTCTGAGCTGTCGAGGGTAAGACACAAACTCCAGACACAAACACCCAAAACACACTCTGTAAAATAATATAATAATAATAATATAATAACGACTGTGTTTTATTGTGTGTGTGTGAAATTTGTGTAGTGCGGATGTTTATTTGACGATATTTTGAATAAGATGTAATTTGGAAAACTTTTGACGTGTATTTTAGCATGGTATTCTTTTACTGGTACATGGACAGTACAAAATAACACATTAAAGCCACAGTGTGTAACTTTTTAGCCAAAAGAACAGACTGAAAAACACAGAAAAACATGGGTCCTTGCTCGTCATGGGCTTGCATCTCCACAAACCTGGTTATCAATGACTTTCGATATGTCTGTGAAGAATGTTCTGAAGTCTCATAGTAGTAGTAGTAGTAGTAGTAGTAGTAGTAGTAGTAGTAGTAGTAGTAGTAGTTTATTCAGTCATTTTGCAACACTACAAAACAAAACACTGACTACAGCCCCATGGATCATGACCCAAAATGTTTAGGCTGAAGTAAAAAGTTCTTCTAACATCAAACCCAGTTAAACAACGACAGAATTCCAAGAAAAAAAAGCAGCATCTGAACAGCAACATTTACATTTACAATTTCACTTATGACTTTGTGTAAATATCAGAGACAAAATATAAATTAAAACAAACAAAATTAATGCAGAATTTATTCATTCTTGAGCTGTAAATCTTTCAAAACATAACACTTTATACTCTTTTTTTAAAGGCTTCTACAGTGTTAGACTTTTTTTTTTTAATCATTACTCAGATTGTTACACAAACTAATCGAGACATGTCAAACTCAGGCCCGGGGGCCAAATTTGACCCACAATATAATTATATTTGGCCCGTGAGATCATATCAAATCTGTATTAGAGCTGCTACCGCAAACAGATAAACTATTGAGACATTATTTATTTCAAATCTTGTTATTATTTTATACTCTGTTTGTTCTGGATTCAATGTTTAAGCAAAACTGTTATTAAACATTTATTTTAATAAGAAAAAGTTTAATATTACAGATCTGGAAAGAAGAGAAAACATGCAGATGTTGTTGAAATTCTTCAATAAATATTTAGTTGGGCCCACGACTTTTTAATTTTGGCCTCTGTGAATTTGAGTTTGACTCCCCTGCACTAACCCTCCAACTTGTTTCACTTTTTTCTTAGTTCTTATCTTCATTGTTTTTCTTATCTTCATTTTTTCATCTTTTTCATTTTCATTTTTTTCATCATTTTCATTTTCATCATTTTCATTTTTTTCATCTTCATTTTTTCTTTCTTATCTTAATTTTTTTTTAAAGATGCCAGTTTTAATTTTTTTCCGTTTATGATCGTACAAACTAACAACAATAACAACAAAGCCACAAAAGTTTATCGTCCATGATCGCACAAAACAAACCACAATTGGAATGACAAATGTAAGGATTTTTTTGCTTTCGTTTATGGTCGTACAAACTAATAATAATGACAAAGACGGCACAACATTTATCATTTATGATCGTATCAAAATAAAAGGTCAAGTTAAAGACAATGTTAAAGTTCATTGGATTTGCATTTAGTTTTTTGAAGTGCACAGAGTTCGTACAAGCTTTGATATGATCATCTAAACTTTTCCATGAATCTGCTCTTTCGTCTGTAACACAAAGAGTTCGAATGAATGAACGAATTTATTTGATTTTAACTATAAAACTGAAGTCACAAAGAGATGAGAGAATTACAAAACAAACAAAACAAAGGCCACAGAGCTCAAATTTGACATGTCCAAAAAGGAGTTCAGTTCAGTAATCAGAATTTCCAACTTTTATTTTCCTGTTACAAGTTTATATTTGACAAAAGACAGAAAAAAATAAAATAAAATTCGCACTTTTCACTGTTTTCATAACCCATCAGTGTCATTTCTTTATACTTCTTCATAAATGTGCGTTGTGTAACCGTCAAACACTTTTCTGAAGGATTTTTAAATGTTTTATTACAGTTTTTGGCTTCTCGTTTTATTGTTTTTGTGTATTGTAATGTTTTTATGTGTTTATCTTATTTCCGCAGGTTTCCGTGAACGAGTCCGCGCTGGTCATTTACAGAGACACTTTTTCGTCCGCTGTGGCCAAAAATGTCCTCCTGGTGTCTCTGGGACTGACCATCAACTACATCAACGGGATCCTGATCCACACCTACAGAAAACACCAGGTACAACAAACTCTTTTAACCGTTTTAACCGTGTATGACTCTGACACAGACACAGCCGCCACATGAGCTGATATTTCAGGCCTGGATTTCAGTGCCTAAATCTACTGAACATTCAAATAGACCTGCAAGTGACAAATCTAATAGTGAGGGTTTATCTTTGTTTTCTTGGTTCCATAATATCGCAGATTTCAATAAATGATTCTTTAATTTGCTTTCTAAGATTATATTGTATTGTTGAAAAGAAACACAGACCTCTTCATTCTGATTTGCCTGAGCAGCTCAAACATTTAAACACAGACTTAGACTTAAACGAACTTTATTGATCCACAAGGGAAATGATTTGGACACACGAGCTCACACATCATAATATAATATAAAAACAAAGAGAAAATATATAAACGGTAATAATAAATTCTAAATAAATAGCAAAAAAGAGCAGGAGACACGTGTCAGATAACAGTATGAAATTAAATGTACTTTTATATTGCTTTATTTTTATGCAAAGTACACGTAAAATGATTGGAGTTGATTATTGGAGCACCAAGTAGTGTGTGTGTGTGTGTGTGTGTGTGTGTGTGTGTGTGTGTGTGTGTGTGTGTGTGTGTGTGTGTGTGTGTGTGTGTGTGTGTGTGTGTGTGTTTACGATCAAAAGTACAGTACACACATGATGACATCTGAAATGAGCTCAGTGATCTTGGTGTCGTTCACAAACTTGATCAGTGTTTCAGAGTTGTGGCTGGGGGGCAGTAGTTTTTGTTCAGTGGGCAGTTCCCAGTGGAGACGCAGAGCTGATCATCTGAGAGTCTGAGGTGGACAACATTTTTTGGTCAAAACAGTGAAGTTTTTATCCGTTTTGGCCTTTTGTCCACAAGGAGCCGACGTGGGTGAAAACAGGTTCTAGAGTGGATAAATTTGAAAACACCGACGTTGTGTTGTCGCGTGGACAAGCAAACCACAGCTTTTAGAAAACGATGAGATCATGACCCCATCATCACCACATGACCAGAAGAAAACCCCACACAACAACTCGTAACAACCACAACAACCGGACGACGGAGCAGAGTTTGTGCTGTGGACGCTGCTAAGTTGATTTACACTGATGCATCAAAATCTCTTAATGGACTTTATAATACAAGACCAGCGGAGACGCAAACACAATTACACACGTTGGATTCTTTTAAACCCACCGTGTAGAACTAGAAGAGCCACCAGAAGAAGATTTTGGGTCAGACCTGAGATTGACAGGAGCAGGTGGGGCTTGTCTGGCTGTATCCTGTTTACAGCGCCACATACAGGTGTGGCATTTGTATTACATCGTTTTCACTCCATCTGAACACGAATATTTATTGATCTGACATGTGTGGACGTGAATTTGTTTCAATCCACAAAATAAAATAAAAATCCAGGAGCGCTGTCGTGTGGATCACTTCTCCTGCTGCACACACTGACCCCGGGCCCTCTGGACGTCTGTGACCCACCTTCAGTTGGAGCTCAGAGAGTTTGTCCTGCAGCAGGGAGGAGCAGAGTGATGGTGACATCTACAGACCTGTTGGCTCTGTAAGCAAACTGCAGGGAGTCAAGGTCTGGGAAGATGAAGGACTCGAGGAGGGACAAGACCAAACGCTCTAACGTCTTCATGAGTAGTAAGTTGTTCTGAGAGGTTCAGGTCGTCAGTAGAGTGAGGGGCTTTGGGCGTGTAGCTGGAGATGTACCTAAGTCTCTTCAGACGGAGTCGTCAGCAGAGAAGCTGAGTATCTGAGAATCTGTCGAGACAGGAGCAAATAAATAAAATAAAAGTTCTAATGAAGTAACTTTATCTCTTGTTTTATTTTCAGATATTCTACACAAACCCGCGCTACATTCTGTTCGCCCACCTGGTGCTGAATGACATGCTCCAACTCTCCTTGAGCATTGCCATGTTCATCATGAGCTACACGTCTCGTCAGGTGATCTGCCCCGTGTGTCTGATCCTCATGTGCGTGAGCGTCCTGACATCTCACAACACCACGCTCAACCTGGCCGTCATGGCGGTCGAATGTTACATCGCCGTCTGCTTCCCCCTGCACCACCCCCAGCTCTGCACCATCCAGCGCACCTACGGCCTCATCGCCGGCATCTGGGCCCTGACCACCCTCATCATTCTGCCCGACATCTTCATCCTGGTGGTCACCAAACCTCCAGAGTTCTTTGTGTCTACAGTTTACTGTGAGAGAGCCAGTCTCTTCGACCACCCGGTCATCATGATGAAGAGGGACGTCCAGTACATCGTGTACCTGTCCGGAGTCTGGTTCATCCTCATCTACACGTACTGCCACATTTTCTTCGCGGCTCGAGCGGCGAAGTCGTCTGCACAAGATTCCAGAAAAGCACGGAACACCATCCTGCTCCATGGCTTCCAGCTGCTCCTCTGCATGTTGTCTTACGTCGACCACTTCCTGCTCAGGGTTCTGATGATCTGGTTCCTTCAGTACATCGTTCACATTGCGTTTGTCATTTATGTGATCGTCATGATCCTGCCGCGTCTCATCAGCCCCATCCTGTACGGGCTCAGGGACAAGGTGTTCAGGGAGCACTTCACCAAGTACCTGGTCTTTACTGTCGTCATCAAGAGTTAGAGACGGAGAATCTTCATCTGGACTGAAGGATGCATCATTCTGACTCAAATTCTATTTACTGTTTGTAAAAAACTAATAAAATAATGTGTTTTTTATAACTCAAGTATTTATAAAATAAAAGCAGAAAATAAAAAAGACAAAACCAATAAAGGTGTAAACTGACATATTTGACTCTGAAACACATTTAGACAGTTACAGACTCGTACAAACACAAACATTTACATTAAAATGTTGTTAAAATAAAACACCATTACTAACGGTTTTACTTTTTTCAGTCACGAGTAATGTAACTAATTACTTTTTCTGTCATTACAACATCATTACTGTTACCAACACATCGTTACTGTGCATTAGTGAAGCTGCTCATTGAAGCTGTCGTCAGACTCACACACACACGACACAAGCTCATGTACTCGCACATGCACGACTTCACTCGAGGAAAACAGTGAGTAAAGTCGCTCCAAAACATACAGCAAATCCACTCTTACCTCCAATAAGAACCGTGACAGAGACTGACATTCTCCTCCTGTCCTCACTCTTCTGCGGTGTTATTAAATCCATAAACTCACGAGGAGCAACAGGACTCTCATCTGTCTCACCATTTCACTGATATTTCTGCCGCTGGATTTATTTTCTCCTCTGAATCGTTCTTTCTGCTGCCGCATGTAAACAAACAGCTCCATGTGATGACGTCATCGGGCGTGGCTCGGTTCTGTTGTGCAGAACATAGAACCACAACAGACGTGTTTGAACATGACACGGTTCTAAAGACCGAGTGTGAAAAAAACAAAAAACAAAAAAAGTAACGCAATAGTTACTTTCCCGAGTACTTTTTGGGAAGTAACTAATAGTAACTATAACTAATTACTTTTTCAAAGTAACGCGCTCAACACCGTCCTTCATTCTCTCCTTCCTCATTTCAGTTGAACAGAATCGGCGGCTGGACAGGCCCAGAGCTCATACAGGGGAGGGGTCATGAATCTGGGCGTATTTCCCCAGGAAAATCTGAATTAAAGTTCTGAGCTGAGGAACTAGAACTGATCCTGCTCTGAGTAAAAATGGCAAAACTCCCCATAATGAAGTCAGCCATAAACAAGGACAGGACAGTTTCACTCTAAAACTTTTCTCTTTGGACCTGCACTTGGAGCTGAAACGTCTTGATGTGCAGATGAACAGGGCTGAAACTGTCTTTACACTGAACCACTCCTGGATGAAGTTAAACTTTTGAATCATGTGATTCCAGTTTTATGAGATTTGACTGAACAGGACTATTGGTCTGTATTACTTGGATTTTTTCTCCTAGAGGGAGTTAAAATAATAATAGTTAAAATGAACTGAAATAAAAGAAAGTTAGAACAGGTGCTACATCTCAAATAGTGCAGAAAATAACACTCGTGTGTGTTGTGGAGAAGGGCTCAGTCAGAGTCTCTCAGAGCTGCTGTTGTGTTGAGGTCACTCGTCTGAATCTGCTCACACCAAAACCTCGTGTTCATGTGAAAACTCATGAAATAAAGTTCCAGTAATTTGTGTGTGTGAAAAGTTATTGAAGGTGACATTACTCCACAGATCTGTTGCATCATTGCTCGTCTCTCTCTTCTCTCTCTCGTTCTGTCTCTGATTTAAGCCTCGGTGTTTGGGGGCCTCCTCAGAATGTCCCAATGCAGTCCACAGAGAACCTGTCCAACCAGTCTGACCTGCCCAGGGTGAGACGCTCCAGACACACTGTGACACCAACAACACAAACCCACATCTCACCAACACTGTTTTTGTCACGTTTACTCTGCTGTGTGTATTTTTGAAAGGATTTGAATAGTTTGAGTAGTTTTCAGCAGATTATTTGTACTTGAACTTGTATATTTAAACAATGTGCATGATGTTTGTCTATCAGAGATACAGAGAAACTGTACTTCTACTTGACTGAAATATCATTTTAATAACAGTACTTTATATTTATTGCAGTTCTTGGCTTCACATTCTTCCTGTTTAATGTATTTAAAAGTCTGTTATATTGTGTGTCTTTGTGTTCTGTCTTTTATTCAGGTCTCTGTGAATGAATCCACTGTGGTCATTTACAGAGACACGTTTGTGTCTTCTGTGGCCAAAAATGTCCTCCTGGTGTCTTTGGGACTGACCATCAACTTCATCAATGGGACTCTGATCCACACCTACAGAAAACACCAGGTACAACAAACTGTTTTAACTGTTTATGACTCTGCACTGATGTTTACATGGGCTGATATTCAGGTGCTTTTCTCTCTTTGGTTTATTAACTTGCATTTAAACGATCTGTTAAAATATAGTTTATAATATTTCAGAGAAGGTTTGTATCATTTTTATAAAATGTCAATGATATATTTTTTGTGTTGCTTTATTTTCATTTTAAATCATCAGCATGAAGTATTTGATCAAGGGCATGTAGTTTAAACAGTTTCAGAAGTGTTTACATCCAAATAGTTTATTGGATCAAATATATAATTGTAAAATAGGATGGCAAAAAGAAGAATTCAGTTTGTCAACTGGACAGAAGTTTATTTTGGTTGAATACGTTCCACAGCTCATCCAAACTGCTTCTTCAGTTCTGGACCAACAGACGTGTTCAACCAAAATAAACCTTTGTCCAGTTGACAAACTGAGTTTCTCCTTTTGCAGTGGATTCTACCTGAACAACTGAGGGACTGTACAAATATAAAATATTATTATAAAATAATATTTTCTGCTTCAGATTGATATTTTTTGCTGCCTTTGACTTGACATGAAAAGTTCTTTCTGTTTGTTTTTCTGGCCTTTATTGGACAGGACATTTACAGGTTGAAAACAGGACAGAAAACAAGACACTGGACAAAGAATCAAACCCACAACCACACATGTGCAGGGAGCATATGTATGTTCCCACTGCTCTGTTTTCTCACATTCAAAAGTATTTTTGAAAGTAAATCCATAACCCCAGTCCCCACCCTGGTCCTGACCTCAACATAATAATGACAGTGCAGTAAAATGTGTTGTGCTCAACAAAAAGTGTTACACAAAAGACACTGAAAACAGCAGAAAAATTCATAGCTTCATAAGTTATAAACTCTAATCTTCTTTGTAACAAGTCCTGGCTCACAGAGAGATTTGCTCTCCCTCTCCAGCCTGGACACACAGATAGTAAAGTGTTTGTGGACGGGGCAGGTGGAGCTGGAGGACCTGGTGTCTGGTCTCTCTGATGAGGTTACAGGCTGGTGCATGAAGCTGAGATGATGATTCTCAGGTCCTTCCTCCCTAAACCAAGTGCAGATATCAGTGGGAGAAAAGTAAATGAAAGATGGATACTCGCTCAATGATTGTTGGTGTACAAAAGTATGAATATGAGGTTTAACAACAGCCTAGTGTCGAGCCAAAGCTTCTGTGATGGTTGATGAACGGTGATTCTGGCAGAAAATGGATCAGATTGAATCAGCAGACAGGTAATTGGTCAGTGGGTGTGTGCTTACGTTGGCTGCTTGGTCACTGGACACAGAGCTGTGGGAACATAGAAATATCCACAGCACCAGCGGCGAGAACAAACTGTTCAAATGAAATCTTTTTAAGTCTTATGTCTTTACTTTCAGATATTCTACACAAACCCGCGCTACATTCTGTTCGCCCACCTGGTGGTGAACGACATGTTCCAGCTCTCCTTGACCATCTCCCTGTTTGTGCTGAGCTACACGTCTCGTCAGATGCCCTGCCCCGTGTGTCTGATCCTCTTGTGTCTCAGTGTCCTGACCACACACAACATCCCGCTCAACCTGGCCGTCATGGCGGTCGAATGTTACATCGCCGTCTGCTTCCCCCTGCACCACCCCCAGCTCTGCACCATCCAGCGCACCTACGGCCTCATCGCCGGCATCTGGGCCCTGACCACCCTCATCATTCTGCCCGACATCTTCATCCTGGTGGTCACCAAACCTCCAGAGTTCTTTGTGTCTACAGTTTACTGTGAGAGAGCCAATGTTTTCGGACACCCGGTCATCATGATGAAGAGGGACGTCCAGTACATCGTGTACCTGTCCGGAGTCTGGTTCATCCTCATCTACACGTACTGCCACATTTTCTTCGCGGCTCGTGCAGTGAAGTCGTCTGCACAAGATTCCAGAAAAGCGCGGAACACCATCCTGCTCCATGGCTTCCAGCTGCTCCTCTGCATGTTGTCTTACGTGGATCACTTACTGGTGAGAGTTCTGATGATCTGGTTCCTTCAGTACATCGTTCACATTGCGTTTGTCATTTATGTGATCGTCATGGTTCTGCCGCGTCTCATCAGCCCCATCCTGTACGGGCTCAGGGACAAGGTGTTCAGGGAGCACTTCACCAAGTACCTGGTCTTTACTGTCGTCATCAAGAGTTAGAGACGGAGAATCGTCATCTGGACTAAAAGCTGCATTGTTCTGACTCAAATTCTGTTACTGTTTGTAAAAAAAACTAGTCAAATGTGTTTTTTATAACTCAAGTATTTATGGAATAAAAGAAGAAAATAAAAATGACAAAAAAATGTGGTGTAAATGGACATATTTATCACCGAAACACATTTAGACAGTTGCAGACACGTACAAACAAAAACATCTCATAGTTCAACCACTACTTCATTCTCTACATTTACAAACATCTCACACAGTATCGTCCATCTCTCTGTCCTTCCTCATTTCAGTGGAACAAAAGGGGAGGTCAGACCTGATCTGGGTCAGACACAACACAGGGTCCAGAAAGCCTGAAGTTATGGAAGTATATTTTAATATTTTATCCACCCACAGCAACTCCACTCCAACATTTATAATCACATATTAAATACAAAATTTAACATAAAAAGGAGACGTTGCAATAAGCTGGTTAAGGAGTCGCTATGAACCACACCAAATGCGGCAGAAGACCTTCCAGAGGAAATACTCTGATGGTTTTATCGCCAACTGAGAAAACTGAGCGAGTGAGAGAGAGACTTTCCTCTGTTGTGTCTTCAGAGTTCATCTGGCTCCCCCTGGAGG